GCCATCTTGAAACAGATCCTAAAACGCATCGATATGCATATGTATCCCAAGATGTTTAATATATGTGTGAATGTAATCAACTTAGATACGTCTGAGATACTACATAGACCGATGTACAGAGGTCAATCTATACATTGGGTAAGTCTGTTTTGAACTGCATCTAACAGTGACATTCATTGTAAACTAGATTATTGAAGTATGACTTATTTTGACCAAACACACCTCTGTCATTAAGTGCATACACTACAGTATATATACAAATGTATTATGGTATTCATATAGAGTCAGTACTAAAGTACTGGAAGTGTGTGTATACTAATTAATCCAAACGGTGAAAAAAAATGGTTATTATTTTATGACAAAACATTTAGTCTACTAATGATAAGTTTGGTAGGCACTTTTTTATAACTCATTGATCGACATCATTATGGTGAAACTTTTTGCAGTTTTCTGTAACTTTTTTGGGGTTTGTGCCAAATCGAAATAATTTTTCTACAGGTCTTGATGATCATTTTTGAAAAATATGGAAAAAATTAAGCAGGTTTAATTTGTGAAAGATTGTCATCAAAGCATTATGAATGGAAAAATAGATTGTGCAGAGCTAGGAAGCATTGATATTTTGTGTGTCGTTTCAAGTCATACAAACAATACCATTATAGTAAACATAGTGTTAGAGTATCCTTTCACATCAGTGTGTTCATGTCATTGTATTAGAAGAAGCAAGGATTTCACATACAGTGAATTTCAAGAAGGCATGAACGTGTTTTGATAGAAAATTATGAAATATTTATTTACCTAAGAAGACTCTCACGCTTTATTCAAATCTAATGAATGCGTTGATTTCATTGGCTATAGATAAAGCCCATTGTAACAATGATTGACTGATTTATTGACATGCATCTGTTTGCTCAAGTTTTTTTTTTAACAGTCATTTGAAATTTATGAAAACATTTATAAATCTTTTTTTTTTTTTTTTTTTAAATGTTTTTTGTGCCAGGCAACAGTTCTGGACATTGAATGTCACTGTTGTCTCTCCTGACTTTTTTTTTGTATGTGCAAATTACAAGTGGTAGTACTGTCACATAGTGTATTTTTTCCACAGAAGTAGTATTCATATTTGGGACAACATGACAGGGCTGTGCAGCTATCTTCCTATCAAATGGCAATTTAATGCACTATCCTGGCGTCAACCAGGCTCAGTCGAACACAAGCACCTGTGGTTCCCCCAAAGTCGCATTCATCATGAAACTGATGTGACAACAACTATGCTACCAGTGACCGGTACCATTTAATTATACAATGCATCTACTCTTCAAAGTAATACAACAGCTACAGGAATGAACCCTCTTAGCTTTAAGGCATATTTCAGCATAAGATTCATGCATTATTGTTGCATGGAGAGATCAAATTCATTTATTCATTTTAGTTTTGTGGATCAATTTATTCTGTAGAATTATACGGTCTGGTACTTAATTCCTCTAGAAAGTAAATGCATTATTAATTACACTGCAACCTGCTGCACAAACAGTCTGGTGCCAAAATATAAACAATGAACAGAAAAAAAGCCATAAAAAGCACTGAATCACCTGTAGTCATGACCGTAAAAAGCCTAAGGACTGTTTTATAAACTGGTAATACCACTCAAACAAAGTTGACAAAGTCGAAGTGGAACACGCCTAAACATGATCATAGATTAATATATTACTTCAATATATGTTAAGTGGCTGACTAACAATGGATGGCCTATTTATAACAGTGTGTTATGTTTCAATTAATATAGTCATCTTTTAATTAGGATAATATGTTGTTTTTTTTCATAAATTTCAATAAACTAACAAGAGAACCGACAAGCAAATAGAATGGGACTCATAACATGTGATAAATGAGACCAAATTGGACAAGCTCTATTAACTTTTTACATGTATACAACAGGGCATTTATGAGCATGTACGTATACCAACAGTGTGCAACCTTTGTAACTGGTAACTAACAACAAGTGTATGTATAATTGTATATATGTATAAAGCATGTGTATATACATTAGTTTTTATTCACAGAAACACTAAATAAAGCTCATGGTTGAAACCAGCTCTACAGAGCGTAGCAGCTATAAGAGTTATTTTCATTACCAATGGGTCAAATCATACTTTTGTTCCTTCAGATCAGTTCAAAGTTAAAGAAATTTGAGAAAACGCCTTTTTGAATGATCAATGTATGAATGCCCAATGGGGAATATAAAATAATGGACACCTAAAAGAGTTCCACCCAGTTGGTAAGGCAGGGTTTTTTTAATTTTTACTTTAAATTCTATTAAATACGGTTTTCTGAAGGATGTAGTGTACATGTTTTGTCGCTAGGACTCAAGACACCAAAATGCTAGTGCAATCCCCCCAGTGACCACTTGGCTAAAATTTGCTACATCTATGCTAACTTAATGAAATAGAAAACATATTTCTTGATATGTTTTAGTACTGCAAGTTTTTGTTGTCCTGAATGTTTTGTTTTGTTTTGTTATTTTTAATTTTGGACTTTACTCAAGATTTCATTGGTACGTTCCAAATAAAAAATTCTATCTATCTATTCTGATCAAACCAATTTGTAAACTTGAGGGGGTAAATTTGCAGACAATAAAAGCATTTTAGAAGTGTGATTTGCAGAGCATCTTTTCAAAAAATAAAACATTTGTGGTTTTATCTGTTAAAAAGTTATTCCATGAACCTAACTTTGGGTGTAAAACCCAATATAATGGTTGTAAGAAGGAAGGAGCAATTTCTTAACAAAAAGGGTGTTTATAAAAATTAATCAGAATATTCTTTTGGGTGAAATATGAGGTAGTAAAGTTGTTTTAGGCATCAAATAGAATATTTATGTACCAGAGAGATTACAAATATTATTACTAACTAAATAAAAAAAAGAATTACTTACCTCTTTGGCACTGTTTTTATCTTTATTTTTAGCTTTATGTTGTGCTACAGGGGTAAGCCTGCCTTTAAAAGGCATCTTACTTTGCTCATACTGAAAAGAAATAACAAAAAATAGAAAATAAATTGAATCAAAGATGAAGTATATGATATACAGTAAGGATGATGCAAAATGTTTTAGTATTTGGATATTGGATATTAGGTCTATGAGGGGTTCTTGTAACGTTACATGCAAAGGTCTATGTCTCCCCAGTCACATCGATTCACATCAAATTAAATCACATTTGCTGTAAATTCAAATTTAGGAACATTGGCAATGAGAATAGTGGAGCTCTCAAAGCTCCCAAGTTCAAGTTCTGAAAAAAATTACTTAACGTACATCTTTAATTTTCAGAGAAACATGAGATACAATAAAAATCAAAGCACAAAAAAATATGATGATGAATTGATGAATTTTAAGTTTAATTTTTGATGACAATAAACAATGGGACCTCCATTTTAAGAACATGATCCAGATCCACCCAAATAAAAAAATAAAAAAATTTAAGTTAGAAAAAATTTGATAGGAGTCTTGAAAGCAAAATATTCTCATTAACATTTTTGTGTGAACAAAACCGATGTGAACTGCTCAGTTGCTATGGTGAACATGCTGAACATCAAAAAAGTCAAGTTACAGAGGATATAAAATATCACAATAACTAAAAGTAAGTATACTATGACGTTTTAACTGACAATTTCTCACAAATGCAGTATAAGGTTGGGGAATAATCAATGAATAGTTGTATAGGTGTTTCACTTTGAAGTGTGGCTTTAAAATGAACACAGGTATAATGTACAATGATTTGAACCTTTTAACTGTTATTAGATTTAATATGATTGACGAAGACAAAGTATGTTTAAGCAATATGTCAGAAACTAACAATGAAATGTACAAAATAGAATAATATGCATGAATATCCACAACCAGTTCACTGAGAGGATGCAACAACAAAGGTTGATTGACACTAGTCACAATGTAGGGTTTAATAAAAAAAATTATTTTCTTAATTAAATAACGGTAGATCAATACAAAGCACTTTAATGGCAAGCAACCGTTGGTAGCAACGTTGGATGAGTTTTTATTCATGAGAAAATAAACGCCTGAGATGTAGGACATTCTCAATAACAGTATCATAACATTCAAATTAATATTCAATGGTTATATACATATATTAGGAGAGAAATGAGATTTAATTTAAAAAAAAAAATTGATTTTTAAAGTCTTTCTGACATTTATACTCAGAAGACACTAAATTATTTAAAGTATAACAAAAAATCGCATTGCTGTTTTAATAATTCATTTGCAAATGGATATATCAAATTTGTCTACGGATAATCACAGAAATCACATAAAATAACAATTAACTCCCGGAACCACAAATCAACAATCTAAAAAAATGACAAAGTTGATGATGATTAATATACTTGGAACATTTTTAATGACCAGGTCGAAGATGTTCACTGCAAACCTTTGTTTTTTTTAATATTATAACTAAAAATAGGACACTTTTATTATTATTTTACATTTGACACTGGACTCAGACTTTAAATGTGCTTGATTTAATCAGAAGCCCCATATAACCAGCACACAACAACAGAAAATAGTATGATGACCAAGTTGAATTACTTCCACCTCAACAACGTTAACAGGGAAGCTGGTTTAACACAAATGGTATTGAGAATTTAAACAACACATTTAACAAGTCAACATCAACAACAACATCAAAAGGGTTAAGACCGACATAGTCATAGTACGAAATATAGAATCATAGTAACTATTACAATTATACTTCTAACACAGGAGAGGGAAAATCTATGTTGGAATTTTAGGCAATGGCTTATTTATGTTGATTAATTCAGATTTATAAGACAACATTGTCAATTAAAAGGCAATTAAAAACACAGGTAAATCAATCAGTTGTTTTAAATGCAATAAAAATGCCAGGGAAACCAATTATACATATTTTACACAGAAATCAATAAGCTTAATCTCCAGCTTATGTAGCAAATAGCAGATTAAATCTCACATTTAGATATGATCAACTCATTTCACTTAATTCTGATTAGTTCATTAGGTGTGAAAAAACAAATGCAACATGGAATCCGGCAGATAAGATCAATACGGATATAGCTTTAGACAGCATGTATCCTCCCCCGGTTTCAATACATGTAACGTCTCTCGCTCACCTTGTGTTTCCTACGTTGTAACATGGTTAACAATTGCTCTTCAAATCATTGTGATTGAACTCCAAGGTCTACAGCGGTAATCATTGGACTTATAATGCCGTGAGTTTGAGCCATAAACCGGACACAATGTAGAGCATAGCAGCATAGTAGAATGTATTAACAGCATGCAGCTGCTGATTATCGCAAAGCTTTTCATGCATTATAATATCACCCCTGGCAACCATGAATACATTCATAACACCATTACGCTCAGTACATATATTTGATGTCAACAAGTAAAATGCACACATTGAATATTATCAGCACATTTAGCAAGAGCATTCAAATGAAATATAATACTCATTTCAGCTTTGTTGGGGATTTAATATAAATAAAACAAAATTCAAATAGAATTTTAACAGCTGTTCACTGTTTACGTTCAACATGTATAAATGCGGAAAGATTTTGTATGAAAGTGAATCAAGTATCATCCATGGAAATGAACTTGAATTCCACTAGACAAGAAAAAATCTGAGCTTGTTTCTATATCATGATTGACATTACTAACGCAGGCACTTGCCCCTTGAACCTATTTGACATACTAAAGTGAATACCAGGACACACCTCTACTATATGAGTACTTTACACTGTGTAAGACTACACTTAGGCTTTAACCTCATGCACACACTCGGCTACTTCATGACAATAGATCACATTTTGTTGGCAGCCAAGTTGAGTCAGGATACAAATGGGAGGGGCAGAAAGTTTTAAATAGAGCAAGAGGCAGTGGGAGGGACAACAATTTTATAATAGAGCAAGGGAAGTTGTTTGGCAGCAAAGTAGTGCGTATAATTGCAAGCACTGACCAAAATCTTTTTTTTTAAGCATATTTAGTTGCAGGACATACTAAAGAAGGTTACCAAATTAAGATGGTACATGTATTTAAAAGAGTAAGAAATTAAAAAACGCAGTCCATTCACTTGAAAAACTTTTTTCTTTTGTATCCCTACAAAAGAATGGGCAAAAGTCATTGTAGGTGCTCATTGATGCAAATAACACATACTGAACAGTGTTCACTGATCAAAAGGTACATCTCAAAGTGTAAATAAAATGAAGAGCTCCAGTGTACATTGTGAAACAACCACCTGCACTGCACACTGCATATGCGATTTGTCAACCCAACCATAGATAGTAATACCTTCATAGGTAGAAAATATTTCTTATCTCATCAGCTACTGTAAATGCATCAATTATTCACTGGGTTTTAATTTCACTGTTTTTGCTGATAAGTTAAAATTAAATCCATGTGAACAAAAAAACTTATTGTTTCCCTGGTAATTCTTGAACTCATAAATGTACTGAAAACACCCGAAACAATAAAATAGCAAAATTAAATTTCAGTAAAAATACATAGTTATACACAACAGCATTTTCCCAACAGCTTTAGCCAACAAAAATTGATGTGTAAATACATTCAGCTCATACCAACTTCAATGTCTAGTTTGGCTCCGACAAATCTCAGGGTTGAACTCAGGACTGAGCGCAGACATGCCTATGACAGTATAAACACATTTGGGCAGAAATCACGCCCTCTATCGCCTTCTTCTAATTACATGCAATTAAAATCATGGCATCTCAGGAGTCAATATTGCTTGTAATTTCTGTGCTGACAACTATAGATGAATGCATTGAAGCATCCATTAAAACAAATGTAAGTGTTAATCATTGGTGTCAATTGGCACATTTACTACATTCTTACTAGTCTTCTCCAAGCATACCAATTTCTCAAGGTATGTAGGTCCTGTCATGACTTTCTCTGTTGCCCTAACGTGTGTGTCGCTTCATGTGTTCATGAAACATGCACAAGATGGAAAATCGTCCCCAGCTATGTTGTTTTCGCACGGCAGGCTCACTGAGTTTTTTTATTTATTCACTGAACTTATTCTATTGGAATATATGATAATGGATACAATGTACACAAAAAACAGACAAGAAAAAAAAATGTTTAAAATCATCTCAGAGTAAATTACGAAACCAATCACTGTATTCACTGCATGAGTTCCCTGATTTCAAAGTTTACTAAGCATATGTATCACATAAAAATGTGGGTCAATTTTACAGTTGTTTATTTATTAGTTTGTTTGCTTTAGAGATATCTTACAATGTTTGTACATATAGTGATGCGTTTTGTTGTTTGAAACACCTATTCTGAGTTGAGGTTGAAAATTGAGATTGCTATGGAAATCCATGCTTTCACACACAAAAAACATAATATAAATGAAACGAAAAGTATTTATTGTTTGATTTATTTGCTTAAAAGAAACTTTTCCCCAAAATATGTGAAATTATAGTTATCCAAAACACAGTTGACAGTTGATTTTTATTGACAAAAATGATCACTAATCAACTTAATTTCATCAAAATTCAAAAATGACTGAAGACAACATTTAACCTATACCGTAATACCCGATACTAAATTTATGCCAAAAAGGTCAATTGTAAAAAAAAAAATGACCACCAGTCTGCCATTTTAAATCAAATCACGAAACAAAATGATGCAAGTTTGAATAAAACTTATCAAAGCATGCATGAGAAACTGTTCATGACATATTTAAATGTTTATTTTTGGTGTGTTTGGGATAAACTGGCCACAAGTCAGTCAAGGGTCAACCAACATCTTTGATATGCAAATAATAATACAAATAATAAATTATTACCAATTTTAAAGAAGACATCAATACTGCAATGGTTTATGAGTGTGTATTACATTCTGTAAATATAATCAACATATAATAACTTTGATCTCATACTAACATTACTTTTAAAAAAAACTTTTAGTGCAAGCAATTTAAGGTAGGATAGAGCCTTAATTTAGGCTATTTAGGTCTATAAGCATACAGTGCCACATTAAAAAAATACCACTTAAATAAAACCACTATAATATTGGTACTGTAGATTAGGCCATGCCCTAAAAATCTTTCAACTTTTAAAATTTCCAAATGTATTATTTTTTTAGTTTTGGAGATCGTGGGGTGATATTTTTCTCAAATCGGTCTTTGGGGCACTGTTAGGATATACAGATTTTACATGGTTGTGTGCCTGAATGTGCCTGCAGACTAGTTCACTTAGAAGAATTCAAATATATCAAAAATGAAATGTGTAGACTGTACAGAAGTACAAGGTGCTAAGCTGTGCCAGGGCAATCTAATGTTGTTCAAACAATGGGAAAAAGACATTTTTCATCATCAGCCTTACACAACTCAAAAAACCAACAAGAGATTAGATAATCTGGAGAGCATGCAAAATAACTTACAACTACCGGTAGTTGATAAAACCACAGGGGACATTACATTAGGAAATCTATATAATTTACAAAAAAAAAATATTTTTTAAAAATTCAGAACTCAGATAACAGTACTTGAAAATAACAATGAGTTAACAATGTAATAATGAATTGCAAACCATGGTAAACAACAACAAAATGGTGATAACAAAAACTGCACATCTCAGGAAGGTTATTGTGATGGCGCCCTCTGCAGATCAAACAGAGCCATGACTGGTCACTGGTAGCATAGTGGTTGTCGCACATGATCGGTAGACCCAAGTTCAAATCCTACGTTTAGCTGAATATCAAAGGGTCGACCCCTACCGTGGGTGAATATGCCACAGACTCAATGGGAAGGCCAATTCCACTGGCCGAGATTCATTCACTAACGAATGTGACTTTGGGGGAACCTTGGTTGAGGTCCGCAGGTGCTTGTCATGGTAAACAAATTCAAATAAATGTGGTATACATTTCCAATTGTTTGCGAAGCAGTTCACCATTGTAGACATTGAAATTTAATTGTATCCCAATGAACAGAAATAACACCAAGGACAAATTGTACACCAACAAGCTTCAAAATGACAATAAATGTTTTGACATGTTTTGATGTATGGAAACAACACGCAGTACTACATCACTGAACATTGTGTATTTTGTTTTGGATTTGTAAAACCAACACCATTCACTTCAGTATTTTGGCAGGAGGCAACATTGTTGCTTCTGTTAGCATAGACTCTACGGTATGTAGTTAATGCCATGACCATTCTGTTGTTACCTCACTGATAGAACACTAGGGTATTGTTCTTGTCATTTTTATTGTTTTCCTCTATCCTTCATTTAAATGTATTTGTATCTACAGTTCACAATCTTTCATACATTGATATTAGAGTTGGCAAGTTACGTTATGAACTACATGGATAAAGAAAGCCAACACGCTGCACTTAAAGCACCAGTCGTCAAGCAGTGCATGTTCAAATTCCACGTTAATAATTTATTTTACATGTGTTTTTATAGGTTGCATGGGACTCGCATCAAACATGATTCATTGAGGCAACTGTGGAGTTTTAAAATTCTGCTCTAATAATAATATATATAGAGATTGACTTCAGGCGTCTGTTTCCAGGTCAGACAGCAGGTGCTAATAATAATTTATCAGGAAAGAATCATAAAATAGCAGCTTCCTCTGTTAAAAACAGCTGGTGTTCAACAACATAACAAATGTCTCAAAATGGCCACCTACCCTTTTTCAAACTGCTTTATTTTATTTATTTTATTAGAAGAAAAACTGCAAAATTTTAGAGCTGCATGTGGACATTTCAAAGTAATGTTTAAGAACAGGAAGTCATTGCAAAATGTCATGCAGACGAATGACGTCCAATCATGAAAAACGATAGTGGCGAATATTAAACATAATTTTGGACAATTTTTCACATAAAATTTGATACTACTTAACTAGAGTTTATTAAAATATCATGTAATTGGTTATTTCTAAATATAGACAGTTGAATTGTTTGTCTGTGAATCAGTAGATTTAACAATACACTGACACTATTTACCAACTGTACTAGCTAGTATGCAGAATCGAAGTGACAAATAAAAGATTCAGTCTTCAGGGTCATTTGTGTCACCTTTACTGGTTATAAGGTTCTATTGTATTCTACTAGTACAAACAAAATATATTGTGTTGTTCTAATAATATCCAGGTATGGTAGATAGGATTTAAATTTTTTTTCCTGCTTTTGACATAATTTTGTTTATGCTGAATTGCTGATTAGTTAAAATCCATATTTAATGGCGTTTACATTCAAGTTTTCCTAATTTGGTCAAAATTCAAGATAATACAGTTATTGAAATCCCATGAGATTACGCGTCATAATTTCATGGTTGATCAGTTTAGGATAGGCAACATTTTTAGATAGGACAGGATTATCAGAACAGTATTTTTTGGGGCTTTAGGATGGATCCAAAGATTTTTTTCAGCAGAAAGAATATACTGTAAAAAGTGAAATTTTGGTCACTATAAAATGTCACAATATTATGATTTATGGGCATCCACGATGACAAAATGTCATTAAAGTAACTCGGTTTTAAATTAATTAACAAATCAATCAAATTAATTAACAAATCAACTCAAGCATTTAATTTGAAAACTGACAGTCAACATTTTTTTTAACTTCTCAAGAGTGGTACATTACAAAGTATGTTACAGTTTTAAAGGTAACAAGATACACACCTGTAATGTTTTCAGAAGCAATAGACCTTATATTTTGAGCTTTAAATATCACACATTTGGTAACCACCATTACATATCAATTAAAGATTTACACATTATAAAGTACTCACCAATTTCTTTTGCTTTTCTAAATGCAATTCTTGTCTGGCCATAAATGTTGTTCCAAGATTATCCACTATTTTTGCACTAGTTTGGCTTACTTGCGGCTTGAATGTAAAAAGCTTTTCAGATTCTTTTGGTTTCTGTCGGACTGGATAGACTCCCGATCGGAACTCATTCCCACGTTCCTTCACCATTTTCAAGCTAGTTGCATTCAGTTTTGGAGCAAAGGTCAGCTCTGACTCAAAGCTGAACCTGCTCTGTGATGGTAACTGGGTCTTCATTTTTGCCAGTCTTGCCGTCCGTGGTATCACATCATTTTCTTGGTGCTGCTGACGGGACTGAAAGACCAACATGGACGATGGGGGTGTCGAGTGACTGCTGCGAGCAGCGCAGGTGGTGCTTCCCGCAGTGGGAGCCGATACTTGGCGTTTGTAGTTGATCGTCAGCAGAGATGAAATGTCTGGTGACCCCGTAACATGCCTGGTCATAATAGAAACAACATGTTGGTAAGATAGCAGTCATAAACGTTTCAATCAAATGGACTGCGACAGACGAATAGGCGGCGCTATATTGAAGCAGCGTTGTACAAGGTAACCATGGACGCCATCGTATATATTTGTGTACATTGTACTTGGTGAACTCAACTCATGAATAAAACATGAACACCATTCCGAGTCCTTTTGTAAATCTAAACCATTCACAATAATTCACCCCTACAAATTATTAAATACACCACCCAGTTGACACGCCGCTAAGGTCAAGGTCTCATACGATACACGTAGATGGTACTTCTCAATTAAAATGTGTAAGTTTTCGCCAAAAGAGCGGACATAGCAAGCGTGCAGAAGGCCAAGATTAAGGGCGGTAAAACTTACACTCCGATAATCAGTAATATATTCATTGTTTTATCCGTTCAAATGTGTAAATTTTAAACATTCTATAACATAATGCACCAAGAAAATCACTTACCTTCTAAAATATATTGTGTATAATAACAAGGAAAACAGATTTGAATAACACTACTAGATTTGGGTCGCTGTGTCACCCGACTCGATTGTTGTTCACTGGCATCACTAAGGCTCGAGGGGGCGCTGTTTACAAACAACAATCAAACCAAAACACACATCTCCCATACCCGGCAAACCAGATGCAAACTTTCGACATTCGGTCACAGTACACGTGAATAAATTATACTAGCGATGACAGTATTGTGATTGTCTGACAAGATTCGCACCATTATGTTATTGGAGGACACAAATAACTTGTTGCGTCTTACCTAAAACGCGCCTTCGAACGCCTTCGGCCAAGTCGTCTGTCGATGACAACCTTGACTTCGGCCTTGTAGGCACTGAAGTTGGAAAGTTGTTGAAACTGGATAGTCTTTCGCTTCTTCATATAAAAGAATGATAAGTGTATTGAATAGTTGAAAATATAAATGGCACCGTTTTCATTGTCCTATTCCAGTGCGTGGGTATTTCAGCTGTAGCTACATTGAAGATTCGGAAGTTCTTTGGTGACGTCATAATACATAAGCGTTCACCGAACCATGTATGATGAGTCGAACTAGTCGCGTACGCAAGGAAACTTACATAGTTGTATAAATGAACTAAACGTGTATTGTAATGAATGGAAACTTTTTATAAATATTATGATTTTTATCTCTAGCAACAAACAAACACTTTTGAACCATTTTTATTACCCCAAAACAGTTATCTAAAACAAATATTCATTTTCACACTAAAAATAAAGCTGTGAGGGCAGTATATGAAATTCGTTATACTATTCTGATTCATATAATGATTACACATAAAACCGCGCGAGTCCAAATTATTTGATCAATTAGTCTCACCAATTCTGCTTTACAATTCTGAAATATCGGCAAATAAACAGTCAGATGAGAAAAATATTTCATTTTTCATTTCCATTTTTGCATTTTATCGCTTGGAGTCAGTAAAATTACTCCAATAATTGGGGTAAAGAGAGAATTGCATAGAAACCCTTTCACCGTCAAGATATTAGTTGTCCAATTTGAATATTCTCACCGTTTAAATAAACTACAAAACATTAATATCTTAATTCAAATTGAAAAAAAAAAATAGAATATTTTGAAGTCAGCTGTTAAATAAACGTAATAAAATGACTACACAGTGAAAATAAAATTAATAAACAACGGAATTGATTCATTGGGAAAACACTTGAATGACTGCAACAACTTGAAAAAAACAACTGAAGGAAATAATCTCAGAACACGCAAATTAAGAGAAATGTTATTTACATTTTCGGCTAGGTAATTACTACCTGGAAATAATTAATTAGGTAATTACTACCTGGAAATAATTAATTAGGTAATTACTACCTGGAAATAATTAATTAGGTAGAGGAAGTAAACCCATCATTGACCCCCCAAAAAGACTCTTCAAAAATGCGGCTAGCAACTCCAATACTGTTGAAAATTAAACAAATTTCATACTAGTGTTTATTTTGACTAATTATAAGTGGAAAATTTAAAACAATTTTCACGAAAAATTATGATAAATATTTTGGCACTTTCTAAATACCTAAAAGCTACAATTTATAGATAAGCACCAAGCATGAGAATGAGAATGAGAGCCTCGTGTTGTAGTTCTGTCCGGAGGGCTACTTCCACATTAAGTGGGTCAGGGTGTGCAACCCATCTCTCGTCAGCCGTCTCGTAAACCATACTCACTTCTAAACAATTTTTTTCTATTTATATACCCACTTCTAAGCACAAGTGTTTTCAGCAACAACAAAAAAACACCCAGCTCACAACTTTCGCAACCAATTAGCGCATCCCCCGGGGCGATGTATTTTATTCCGCCTTTTCCGGTATTTGGCTTTGAATATAAGGACCTGGAAAAAAGTAAATAAATGCTACACACTTCTAAACCAAAACATTGAAAATGACTACCCACCTCTTAAAAAAACGTGAAATGACACCCCAGTCGGGCGGCACATACAGAAAAATTGCATATTTCACTACTGGGGGAAACCTGACCTTTTTAGGATGTTGCAACCATAATTATAACACGGACCATAGGCCATTTATAGTGATTAGGCACGTCACGATTTCTTTGAAAGGTATGAATTC